AAAAACAAATGATCACTTTAATGCGGCTTCTGGATTACTCTGTGCTGTGGAGGCGTCTACCCATTGCAGTGATCATCACTGTCCCTCCGCAGGAAGGCTTTGCGCTGTTCGCCAACCTGGTGCCGCATAGGCGCCTGCGTCGCCAACGGCCGTACTGACTGCTTTCCCCACCAATGGAGGGCTCGAGCGTCGAACCCCGATCCCGCTTCCATTGGAGGTGGATGGATGCCCCGAACGCAGTGGGAGGTATCTCAGGATCTCCCCAGAAAAAGCCACCCCCCTCATTCAGTGGAGGCGGCATCCGACGCCCACCCCTCTCCCGCTCCTCGCCTTCTCCTCCTCTTCGCTGCACTTTTCGGCTCAGGGGTTCACTCTTTGGACTGTCCTGGCTCGCCGGTTTTCGTTTTCCCTCCCAGACTTTCTCCAGACGGGGGGTCCTGGACAAACACGGGAACCCCACCGCGACGCGCACGCCCCCTGCAGGGTTGGCCCCCTCCGCTCTGGGACGACGCGCCCAGCGGTGACCAGTGGACCAACGCCGTCTTCAGTGGGATCGCTACGACATGCGCCTGGGCGAGGTGGGAGGGTGCAGGCATTCGGCAGACGGACCAGCAGAGTGACATTTCTCGAAGGAACTTGAGGGGGGGGTGGGGCCTGCCGCCCCTCCTCAGCTGGGGCTTGCCTGGGCACGTCGGCGGGCTTTTCATCCTCTCGCCTCTTGGGGCCTTCCGTCGTGAGCCCCCCACGCGTTCAGTCCCACCCCAAGGGGTTTTGTTCATGATGGCCCATGCCTGCGCTCCACCTCCCTTCCACGAGTGGGCCACTGCCCCCCTGTCGGGGTCGGATCGTAAGAATTCGAGCCCGAATCCAGGTCCGAGTACGTTTTCATGTCGAGGACGAGAAGGAGGAGGAGGGGGAGGAGGAGGAGGAGACGCATGAATATGACGATGATGATGCTGTTGATGATGATGATGGTGGTGATGAGGATGATAGGATGATGATGGTGATGTTGATGCCGATGGTGATGATGAGGTTGATGATGATGGTGGTGATGATAATGATGATACCATGAGGATGATGACGATGGTGATGATGATGCTGATGATAAGGAAGATGATGATGAGGGTGATGAGGATGATGAGGCTGAGGCTGATGCGCATGCTGATGCTGATGCTCCTGACAATGATGCTTATGATGCTGCTGATGATGCTGATAACGATGATGATGAAGATGAGGATGAGGATGAGGATGATGATGATGATGCTGATGCTGATGATGATGTTGCTGATGCTGATGCGGATGATGAGGATCATGATGATGTTGCTGCTGATGATGATTCTGATGATGCTGATGATGAGCCTGATGATGATGATGATGACGATGATGATGATGACGATGATAATGACGATGGTGATGATGGTGATGCTGCTGCTGCTGATGATGATGATGACGAAGCTGATGACGATGCTGGTGTTGTTGATGATGGCGATGCTGATGATGAATCTGATGATATTGATATTGGTGATGCGGATGATGATGTTGATACTGCAGATGCTGATGATGGTTATGATGAGCGTGATGAGCCTGATACTGATGCGACTTATGATGATGACACTGATGATGATGATGATGCTGCTGATGATGATGTGGATGCTCATGCTGATGATGATGGTGGTTATGATGATGCTGATGATGATGCTGCTGCGGATTATGGTGGTGATGATGATCAGGATACTGATGATGACGATGCTGCTGATTCTGATGATGATGCTGATGCTGATGATTGCGATGCTGATGCTGATGCTGATGCTGATGCTGATGATGATGATGATGATGATGATGATGATGATGATGATGATGCCGATGACGACGACGATGCTGCTGCTGATGATGGTGAATACGACGATGTGGATGACGATGATGATGATGATGATGATGATGATGATCATGATGATCATGATGATCATGATGATCATGCTCATGATGCTGATGCTGCTGATGATGATGATGCTGCTGCTGATGATGATGAGGATGCTGATGATGATGATGATGATGATGATGATGGTGGTGGTGGTGATGATGATGATGATGATGATGATGAGGGGGACGAGTATAATGACGATGATGCTGATGCTGATGATTGCGATGCTGATGCTGGTGATGATGATGAGATGATGATGATGATGATGATGATGATGATGATGATGATGATGATGATGATGATGATGATGATGCTGATGCCGATGATGATGATGCTGATGCTGCTGATGATGATGATGGTGAGTACGACGATGTCGATGATGATGAGGATGCTGATGGTGGTGGTGGTGGTGGTGGCATTGGTGACGAGTGTGATGATGTTGATGATGCTTATGACGCTGCTGCTGAGGATGATGATGCTGATGATGATTCTGCTGCTGATGCTGATGATGGTGATGCTGCTGTCGACGACGATGATGATGATGATGATGATGATGATGATGATGATGATGATGATGAT